ATCACGGAGAATTACGCCACTTCACGTAAAACGGGTGAAACTCCAATGATATAGTACTGGACACTCAGTGACTACGTCATTGACTCGTCTGGAAACTAAATTTCGATATTAAAATATGAAGTTTCACCCGTGATACGGAAAACACTAGTGCAGAACATATTTCATGACTTACATACCGCGAATATGGCGTTTTTCGAAGAGTTTTACGCCACTTCTCGTAAAACGGGTGCAACTCCAACGAATGCGTCAAAAAGCTTCCGCAGTGCGCAGTGCGTGGAACTCGAACGATGTTTACTATCCGTGTGTAGATTCATAATCACATACCTATAATATATACCATTTATAATCCTACAGCTTTTGGCGTGGGGAACTGAATGGGCTCTACCAGCCGTGATAAATCTTTCGTTACGAGTTGATCCGAATGAGAAACACAGATTATCGGATGGAAATATCAATAGTCACTTCTGCTCAACAGTGCGAACTTCCTGCGTGACTCAGCCGATGGCTGCCTCCTCAACCAGCAGCAGCAAGTCGCCGTCAGCAATTTCCCTCCATACAAAACCTTAAAATCCACCCGTCACATCAAACATAACACATGCTAGTTATTTGAAACGTGGGATAGTGTACCACGACGATTAGGGCCTCATTATATGGACACCTTCCCGTGAAGTTGCAACAGCTAGAATATTCCTATTCGGGTGATGCGTAACCCCAGTTACTTCTCCAGTTTGAGCATATGCTACCACATTCTCCAGCTCACCGGTTGCAGTGTCAAAACAGTAACTGACAGCAACGAAGCGATACTAAAAATTAAATCGACTACGGAGAAATTCAACGGGCATCTGAAGACACACCATCCCGAACAACTACACAAAGCTCAGTGAGCTGTGTGCTAGTGAAAAACTAGTGAAAAACATATTTCACATCGGGTTTCCCACAGAGTATTACGCCACTTCACACGTAAAACTCCATTGATACATCGGTGCATTACTACGATAGCATCCAACGGATGTACCAACGAAGTGTAGACAACAACTAATTTTAATTTCTAAAGTGACTTGTGTACTTCCCTCACGTTGAGTTACATCGTCCGATCTTCTGCTGCTGCATAGATCCACCTTCCCGCGTGAGACGTACACAACGCCAGGAAGTCACCTTTGCCGTCACGTTTACCTGTCGATACCAAATAAAGGGCTTATATGCTAAACTGATAACATTTCGAATCAACAAGATAGATAAGATCCCCGATCAGCATCGGATCATCAACGACCAGAAGGTCCAAGCCGACAAGACAAAAAGCAACAAAGTCGGCCGATATAGGGGCTGCGCACTGCGGCAAGATTGCCTCGGATAGAAACTCAACGTGTGTGTTTTCCTCAGACATCAGCCCAGCTTCTTACCAGACTCATACGACTTCAGTAGTTGACCAGCCACAGTCATTTGGTGGACGGTGCTCGACTGCTGACAAATGAGTAATGTATCCTCACTCAGCCCAGTTGAGGAGGAACTCGACACAATCACGATGTCCCGGACCTAAGACGATGCACAACAGCATGAACAAATCATGTGAGTTCAATTCACACAGAGAATCATCCAGTAACCTATAATGTTCCCGAGGGATAGGGAACTCATTTTGAATTTCCCACGTAAGGCTAGCAACACATTCTTCAATCACTTTCTCATGTAAATGTCATCATCACATTAGAAACATCATTTTTCCTATTGTTATCAATCCCTGAAATCGACGCTGAATGAATCCCTGAACTTACATCTAAGGTGATATTCTCATTCTGATATGCTGGTGGAGGAGGGGCGAACTTGTGTAAAATTTCGCTCGATCGCAGATCGAAAACCCTCACGAAGCCGTCAGCACATCCACTGACCACCTGAGGAAGGGACTCGCAGACTGGATTGAAATACATGTCTGATTTCCTCAACTGAGCTCGTAAATTTCCTCCCGACATTGTGAGGTAGAAGTGTATAAAAACTAAGGCTACATTCCCAAACGTTCCTCCTAGTTTTCATATTTTTACTAACACATGAATAGTTGACCATGTGCATATACTCCCACTCCAACGAGGAGCCGCCACCTACCAAGCGTTGATGACCGGGACCGTCCGCGAAGCCGACGCAGTTGACATAGCTCGTATGGCCGCGAAACTCTTTCAATGTACGACCGGAATGCATCCCATGAAGTCTACAAGTATTATCGAGGGAGCCTAAGACACATCCAGTAGACTATCAAAATGGTAGCCCAAAACTCTAGAGGGCAAGTAGCAAGATCGTATGGATGGTCGAATTCCCAGCATTGGCTGTATCAGAA